GACAAAATACATGTAAGAATAGACTGTGTCATTTACAAGGGTGCATAACTTCACTAGACATCTTGACTTCCAAAGCTATTGCTCTTTGACTTTTATTCTCCATGTATTTGTAAAACCAACCAAACCAGCCTTTAGTTCAGTCATTATCCTTAATGCATCCTTCTGGTGGTATGATCGCCACCCAGTTCAGAAATGATTTGTCACCCAGTGCACTTCCCGTGTGCCAGGCACCACAGGGCACACAGATGAGTAAGATACAGTTCCTGCTCACAGGAAACTTATTACAATCTGATGATACCATGGTTCTTAACTTCAAGAAAATGCACATAAGCACAAAATTTCAGACTCCCAAAAGCCCATTCATTCAGAGACTCTCTAGAGATCCATGGATCCCAGATGAGGAATTCAATCCAGTATAAAAAGTAAACAAAAAAAGGAGTCCAGAGCAAGCTCTTCACCTATGAATAATCACGAGTGATAATCAGACGATGACAGAATTTCAGAGCACACACAGGAGTAAGTCACAAGGCAGCCCTGACTTTGACAGGGTGAAGCAGGGGAGGCAGCAACGTGTGTCCTGAGGACAATACGTAAGCTGACCTGGAGAAATACTGGAAACTAAAACGTGCTGTCTTTAGTCCTATTAGGGGTGGCGCTTTCTACTCCAACCTGCAGTGCAGCCTCTGGGACTGCAGTTAGGTTCTTATCTTAGATAAAAGTGAAAGTACAGAAACAACCATTTTTGAAACTGTGAACAGGGAATAAAGAAGCAAGGTCATATTTCATGTTTTAGGGGTCAGTTCTTAGCTTCCCTAAATAGAAGTGAAGTTGCTCAACACACTACTTGTAACTTATCCGAGAAAAAGAGGGGTGGAAAACAGGCTCACGGGGAGTTAAGCGCTTTGAGTTTCTGCTTGCTGTTCTATGTTACCTCTGCATCATATCTGACCGCAGCAGAGAACAATGAAAAGGCGTTCTCCACGGTGATTCCTCGCTTGATAATGTGCTGACAAAGTTTCTTCAGTCTGTTTTCACAGTAAGATGTCGCCAAATCCAAAAGACCTAGAAGTAAAGTGTGGAAGGCTTAATCAAGTTTATGATTATTTCCACTAATTTATAAACACATATATATTTCATTCTGGTGAGCAGAGTTACAAGACAAATCAGTAGAAGCTTCTTAGTGAACAATACTCTGAATTTTATTCAATATATTCTTCTTCACTCCCTCCCTCCCCGACCTCTCAAACATACCTCTCCTACACTTACTTTATACAATTTCTTCTAAAGTACAAAGGGTAAAAATGGAATTTCTCCCCTTATTTTGTTTCTAAAATGATACATTAAAAGTATTAGCAACTTAGACTTCAACATTAAAAAATTAAAATAAGTCCACAGTCATAAACTGTGTCCGTAATTATTAACCATGATAACTAAATAACAGTATTTTTAAAGACATTTACTTCAAATCTTCTTTAAAATCCATGTAAAAACCTAAAACTAAAACCTAAAACTTTTTACAGTTCAATGCTATAAGAATATGAGAAGATGTACTCTTTGACCCTGTGGCTTGGCCAGTTCCCCCGTGGCTGGTACCTATAGCATCTTCAGGAGGCAGATCCACTGTATCTGT